GATTGTGTTTTTACTAATATAGTGTAGCATAGGGTGAGGATGTGGGTTTTTGTGGTGATTTTCTCCCCTTCCACATTTCGCACCTGCGCCCTCCTGACAAGCCCGGTGAACAGAGAGCCCCTAGCCATGAAGCAACGATAGAGAAAGCTATTCAGACGTTTCCTTAGTCCATACCCCCGTAACTGGTGGCATAACAGTGGAGACAGTGGTGGGACTACCAATCCACCCCTGTCGTAAGGATTAGTGACATAACACTAGTAGCGCCGGTAATCGAGCCCGGACCTCTGGATCTGTAGCCAGGAACTCTGACCACTAGACCATGGAGGCGATCGTATATCTGTCATTACAGTCTCAATACCCTATAAGCTTATGAGATCGCCTTACTGTCTGTTTCTGTATCCCCCCAACATTTTTATTAGGAGGCTTATGAGATCATTTTGCTGTTTGTTTGTCTGTGTCCAACCTCTTTTTGTTTTCTATGCAGTCCACCCCGTATCAAAGGAAAATATACGATTGATTCTTCCCAGAACTTCTTGTTATTTGATGTAGCCCTATCAACTGTCCAGATTATGTAGAGTCCAGTGGACGGCGAGATGTGAAATGTGCATATGAAATGAAGATGTCCATGTCTGTTTAATACGTTACCGTTTTGCAGTTTGCCTGAAGATGTTGAGGAAAGCGAACGTTTTAAGTAACTTGTAGATGGTATTTTTGTATAGGTAGGTTACACAGAATATTGAGAGGGTTTCATAATACTGCGAGGTAATGGCTTCACGCAACAGTACGCATCTCATAGAGTAAAACACCGCCGTTGGGAGCTGTTTCGTTCAGCACGTCGACAGGAGGAACAAGAGAAGACGCTTCAGGACTCGTGTATACAAATTTTTGTCACGCAGATGTGACAGCAGAGTAACGAGGCCTGAGGCTCAATTATTAAATACGCTGTCCTTATTCGTCACGGAAAAGACCCTCTGAATTGTTCCGATACAACATTAATTCCTCAAAAGTGAAACTGGAAAGACTCTTCAGGATAACGAATCGGTTCATCCGAGGTATAATAAATATTTACTTGCTAATTATAAGCTGTTTTAGTAGCCCCAAACACGTACAGGCACTTGTATTAAGATGGAACCGCTAAGTT